TCTGCCAAGGGTCCAGGACCCGGGGGTCACTGTAACCAGCCAGGAGTCCCACCATCCTTGTGGAGGTGGCCCTGGTGCTGGCCACCCCCAAGCCAAGAGGCCAGTTTTCTAAATAACGGACAGCCTGCTTGGCTCCTGGGTCTCTGTTCGCTCTGTGTGCACGTGTCCCGACTGACTGAGATTTACAACTAAGGGCTGATGGGCCCAAACCAAATTTTGTTTCAGAAGGAGCAGGATCTAGTCACCTTCAACTATGAAGGAACCCATAACAGAAGCGGAGAGGGAAACTCAGAGGCCCAAGGGGCCCAGGTGTCAAGTCTGGTCCCGCTGACCTGCAGAAACAGAACACGGGCTAATGTGGGCGACAGGGAGGAAACTGCTTCCTTGGAAAGTGGGTCCAAAAACTCAGAAAAACAGCCACAGTGAAAGGGATGTCCGTTTGCTTCTCTAAACTCGTGTGTAGACTTTCACAGACTGAGGTGAAGAATCCAGAACATAGAGGGAACCAAGAAACAAGATGCTACCTGGAAAGCAGTTTGCCGAGAAAATTAAACCTGAGTTGGATCAAGTCTCTGGAGGTAACTCTTTGAAAAAAAAAAATTATTTTATATATATATATATATATATATATATATATATATGTATATATATGTATATGTATATGTATATATATATATATATTTTTTTATTAAGTTTTTACAAAGAGGAAGAGAAAGGGATAGAGAGTTAAAAACATCGATGAGAGAGAAACATCAGTCAGCTATCCCCTTCACACACCCCCACTGGAGATGTACTCGCAACCAAGGTACATGCCCTGGACCGGAATCAAACCTGTGACCTTTCAGTCCACAGGCCGACGCTCTATCCACTGAGCCAAACCGGTTTCGGCTGGAGGTAACTCCTGCAGCTCACAGGAAAGTGGTGGGAGAGAGGCACATGCTAAATGCCACCACAAGAATGCAATCGGCTACGCCCCAAATGCAGGAAATTCTACAGGACTAACAGCTCAGCCTCTTTCAAGTGGCAAAGGAAACAAAGAAGATTAAGAGGGAGTTAAGAGGGTTGTCAACCCAAAGTAACCTGTAGACCTTGTTTGAATCTCATTCAAACCAAGCAACTGAAAAAAGACATTGAGGGACAATCAAAGAAATTCGAACACTACCTAGATATTTAATTAGAAAAAGGAACTATTGTTGATGTTTGTAGGTTTGATGACAGTACTGTGGCTATTTTTTTTATAAGAAACATTATCTCTGAGAGATACATTTTGAAGGAGTTAAGGCTGAAATTAGACCAGTGGTCGGCAAACTCATTAGTCAACAGAGCCAAATATCAACAGGACAAGGACTGAAATTTCTTTTGAGAGCCACATTTTTTAAACTTCTTCTAATGCCACTTCTTCAAAATAGACTCGCCCAGGTATTTTGTGGAAGAGCCACACTCAAGGGGCCAAAGAGCCGCATGTGACTCGCAAGCCACAGTTTGCCGACCACTGGATTAGACGATGCTTGGATTTGCTTTAAAGAAATCCACACGGTGAGGGCAAAGGAGGAATGAGGCCCGGTCTACGCTGACAATTGCTGAAGCAGGGCGATAGGGACGTGTGTGTTCATGATGTTCTCTCTGCTTTGGTCTAGGCTCAACATTTTACAGAACACAAATGTTAATTACAAAAGAAGAAGAAGAAGAAGAAAATGAGGAGGCGGAGGAGGAGGAGGAGGAAGAAAAGACCCTAGTTTTTAATGATGGCTCCAGTACTGATTCTCTGGGACCGTGGTCTGCAAAATGCGGCTCACAAGCCACATGCGGCTCTTTGGCCCCTTGATTGTGGCTCTTCTACAAAATACCACGGCCTGGGAAAGTCTATTTTGAAGAAGTGGCATTAGAAGAAGTTTACGTATAAAAAATTTGGCTCTCCAAAGAAATTTCAATCATTGTATTATTGATATTTGGCTCTGTGACTAATGAGTTTGCCGACCACTGGTCTGGGAGGATCTGAAAAACCTCTACTCCGCCAGACCTCAGTCCCTCATCCCGAGCCTGAACAGGTTCAAGTGCTGGCTTGGCCCCATCCTCTTCCCCCTCTGAGCCTCGCATGTCAGCGTCCAACAGGAATAACGGTCCTGCCTCGCGGGGCGGAGGAGAGGGGCAGGTGCGTGTTCCCGTGAAGGGGCTGGTGCTCAGCACCCAACCAGCGCTCACGGTCACTACCACCGCCTCGGTGGCCACTGCTGTCTCCTCTTTTGTGCTTTGAGGAGGAGGTGGGTGATCTGGTCCTCCTCTCTTAGAACACCCAAGTTTTGGAAATGTTTCCCAACTCATCCAACCGGACAGGGCTCATCCCAGGCTTCCTGCGCAGGACCAGGCCTGCGCTCTGGGAGGCACCGGCACTGTCTCTCTCTGGGCAGTGACCGCAATGGCCCCTCTCGGTCCTTCTCCCTCTTCGGCCACCTCTGTGCCTTGCTCCCATGTGGCCGGTTCCCAGGCCCACCTCTCTCATCCCTCTTCCCAGAGGGAACAGTGCCGGAAAGAGAGACTCCCTTCCCTGGCCCTCCCTTGCTCCTGCCCAGGAGGCCATCCCTTTCAATGCCCAGAAGGACCCTCTGTAAACCAGGAAACGGTGGGGTGGAGTGAAGGGAAGTTAGAAAGAACTCCGGACTTATGAATGCATAATGCTGAACTTTCTGGAAATGGATGGGCCCAGTGCCAGTCCCACTAGGGTTCCTAGATTGTACTTTCCTTACAAAAGGGCCATTATGAAGGCTCCACATCTCCCGTGTGACAGGTTTCAAGCTGTAAAACCACATGCCGTCCTAGGGACCAGGAGATGAATAGGTTTCCCAGCCGTGTCCTCATTCTCAAGGGCGCTGGGTCCCAGAAGAGGTCTGGGAGACAGGGTGACACCAGGGAGCCCTGGGCGCTTCCCAGCTGCTCTGCAACAGGGGCCGTGAGATAGCCCAAGACCTCAGATTGTGAGGACCCTTCTCCCCTCCTCCACTCAGGTTCTCCTGGAAACCCAGAGCGCTCCACCTGGGTTACACCCCTTCTCCACTTCCAGAGGTGCACAGTCCCTGGGCCTGTCCGGCCCCACAGGGGACAGCTGCACCCCCACCCAACCTCGCTTTCTCTGCACTCGCTTTTGAGATCATTTCTTTCTCCAGAGGCAAGAGGCGTGTGGTGCCGTTAGGAGAATGCAGATTGGTTGGCAGGACAGTGGACTCCCGTCCTGCCTCTGCTGCTGTCTACCTCGTTGGAGTCCACATCCCCTTTTCTGCAAAGTGAAGACGCTAAAGCTAAGTTGTAAAGTCCCTTCCAGCTACAACATCTGTGGTCCTGCTGCTTGTTATAAAGAAGTGTGTTCCTACCTTCCCCACCAAAGCATCAGCCCTGACTTGACAGGCCCCACACTCCTTCCCTCTGCACAGTCATCTACTTTCCAAGTGACCGTCAACCAGCTCTCCTCCGCTGACCCCAGTCCCCTGATGCCCCACCTCTTGAAACCAGAGAACCTCAGGCATATCCAATTTTCCCTTGTAGTTCTGATGGACGCGTTTGCATGTGATTTGCATGTATTCAAATATAAATGTATCATTTGCATGAACATCTAAAAGACGTTACAAAATCACCAAACACAGCCTCTAACTGTTGGTTACAGCTCATCACTCCAGAACCCTCAAATGGATCCAACAAAAATCTCACTAAGTAGCTGAAACCAGTTTGGCTCAGTGGTAGAGTGTTGGTCTGCGGACTGAAAGGTCCCAGGTTCGATTCTGGTCAAGGGCATGTAGGTTGGTTGCAGGCACATCCCTGGTGGGGGGGTGTAGGAGGCGGCTGGTCGATGTTTCTCTCTCATCGACGTTTCTGGCTCTCTCTCTCTCTCCCTTCCTCTCTGTAAAAAATCAATAAAATATAATAAATAAACATATAAGTAAATAAATAAATTGTTTTTTAAAAAATCTCATAAGCAGACCAATGCTCTCCTAAACTTTTGGGGTAAAGAAAGGACATATCAGAACTTCACATTAATTTGTATCACATCCTTTACATTTATCTATTTCCTATGTATGCTTTATACTCCTCAAACCATATTGGTAAAATAGGATATGTATGTACTTTATAAATATGCTTGTAATGAGGCTCTAGGTACAAACAGATTTTGTAGATGAGATACATGGAGTCCCCATCACTCCATGTCCCAAAGCTGGAGGCAGTTGCAATGGTTCTGATCTGACCACAGCCAAGTGACCAGGGAGGATGCCAGGTAACCCTCTGCCAAGGTCACCCTGGCCAACGACTCCCAAAGCTCACAGGGGCTTCCATCACACACTCACGGCTCCTTTGGGACCTCAAGGCAAACTCCTTCTCCCAGAGACCTACTCAGGCTACCAGCCCCCATCAGCAAGGCCCCTTTTGGCCAAGAGGGCATTGGTCCCCACTCAAGGAACCCACTTTCCTTCCAGACCAGTTGGTCTTGGCCCTCGAGGCTTCTTTTATTTCAGGAGCACACATTCCATTCACGGGTGAGGGGTCTTGGAAAGAAATCGCTAGTCCTGTCTTGATCTCATTCTGGGATTCACTTACTAAGTTTGACAAGTTGCATTCATTATTGCACAGGGAAAAATAGGAACCTGGTCTTTAAATAGATAGAGGATAAATAGATAATATCAGAAGATAAATGGATAGATGATAAATAGGTAAATAAATAGGTAGTTAGATGATAGATAGGTAGATAGCTGATAGGTAGATATAGATGATGGATAGATAGATGATAGATAGATAAGCAGGCAGATAACTTGGCTTTCTGGAAAACTGTCAATGACACAGCAAACTAAGCTACTCCTAGGTGGGAATGTTTCCAGAAACATGCCAATAAGAGTGAAAACTCATTGTTTCAGGGTGCATGGGAGGGCAGCTAATAACCAGTCAGGGTGAACCTGCTGGATTCGGGCGTGGCCTTCGCCGGGCACAGCGGACAGGGGGCCCACGTGCTGGCTACTCACCCACACACTGGTTGCCTTCATCCATCTGGAATCCAAAGCGGCAGATGAGAGGCCTGGAAATGGTGGGGTAGTTTGGAGCCGGGAGCGGTGGGGCGGCTGCAGGGTATGGACCTGAGTAGGAGGTGGAGTAGGGGTTCGAGTAGGGCCCCCGATACACCGGGTTTGTCCGGGGGATGCACAGGTAGCCGCCGTTCTGGTTCACACACATCATGTCTCCCCGGCAGGCCTCCGGGATGGTCCGGCATTCGTCGATATCTGGAAGCCACGGAAAGGACGGGCGTCAGCGGCCCCCGCCACGCTGTGCCCGGGGCTCGCCGAGGCAGAGCCGCGGAGAACCCCAACACTCGGCCAGCAAGGGCGCCCACACAGTGCCTGGCTCATCGCCCGCAGGTACTCCCAAAGGTTAGCCACGTAGAGTCAAATGGACCAGCGTCACCCAAGCATCAGCCATCAAATACCACCACCAGGGCCTCGGCCTTATCCACAAAAAACCTGTATTATCGTGCTTAATACAGCTAAGTACGCCTGTATCTCCGTTCACTGCAGCCAGGTGTACTTTCAAAAAAATGAACCCACATTTGAAATTGGAGTAAATAAATTTTTAAAACTTTTACGTGACCGCAGCAAATGAAAAACGCCATCAATTAGCATAAATAGAAGGTGACAGTAAAGGTAAAGATGTAACTATTGAGAGAAAGGGTTTATCTGTGGGCGTGGCTTCTTGCCTTGGTGTGCCCACAGGACACTCAGGAAACATGGGGACCCACCCAAGAATCGCTCCCATTTCCACTCCGAATCGCAGCTGGGCCGGAGAGAGCGTCCCTGGCTTCAAGAAAGACAAGGCTTGGCCGAGAGCTGGTTACTTGTTCAGAAAGCGGAGCCTTACTTGAAAGTCAGCTCACACTGTACCAGCAATGTGGCCCATTTCCGGACAGGCTGGTGTGCTGCTAGCTATGCCCAAAAGGGGAGGTGGGTGCTCCAGAAAACCTGATTTCCGGGGCCAGGCCAGGGCAGGGGAGGCCTGGATTCTGGCTCCAGCATGAGCAGCTGGCCTGCCCTCCACACTGGGCCCCCACGCTAGCCTTGGGCGCTGCTCCCTGTGGGACAGGAGGCTGGGGGAGAAATGCCTGAATGCTGACAGCTCCTCCCAGCCATCTCACCTGAGCAACTCCCGCCAGCTCCCAGCTTGGGAATGAGAGATGCTGAGGCTCTGAATGCCCCATTCAGTAGCTGCAAGTTTGAACTCATCCATAAAACTGGTGGGTCAGCAGGCCCAGCTGGCATGGCTCAGGGGTTGAGCGTCAACCTATGAACCAGGAGGTCACGGTTCCATTCCCAGTCAGGGCACATGCCCAGATTGTGGGCTCGATCCCCAGTGTGGGGTGGGCAGGAGGCAGCCAATCAATGATTCTCTTTCATCACTGATGTTTCTATCTCTCTCTCCTTCTCCCTTCCTCTCTGAAATCAATAAAAAATATTTTAAAAAACAACAACGCTGGTGGGTCAGAAAAGAGGGGTGCTTCCCTGTTCTGTGCGCCTGGGCACAGCCACATCCCCTTCACACTTAGGTTTTCCAGGGCACGATTTATTCCTCACCTCTTGCCAGTTTTTTAAACCACCTGTCTCCCCTTTGGTTCTCTGAGCTGACGTGAGCTCAGAAAAGATCTATGACTTGGCCTAAACCAAATATAATAAAAATATATATCTGAGGCAGGGCTACCTATTCTTTGTGTGTATCTGATGCTCCACCCACAACAAACTATTCTATAATACACTCTCAACGTCCTTTCTACCCCTGGTCTTTGCTAATGCTGTTCCTTCCACCAGTAATACCACTTCTCAGGATCCTACTCATTCTTCTCATATATAATTGGACATATATTGAATTGGATATATCTAGATAGGTGATAGAAAGATAGATGATAGATAGATAGATAGATAGATAGATAGATAGATAGATAGATCCAATTCAACAGGAGGATCATCTCCTCCTTTTGCAGGGCCCGTCGCTATTGCCTCAACTTGGTTGAGTTCACTGCACCCAGGTGCACCTCTCCCGTTAGATGGTGTGCTAGGAGAACAGCCCCCAACATGTCTGCCCCAACCCCATGGCTACATTAGGTTACCTGACCAAGGGGAAGTAGGTAGCAGATGGAACTAATGTTGCTAATCAGCTGACCTTGAGAGGGGATCATCTGAAATCATGTGTAAGCCCTTAAAAGTGGAAGAAGAGGCAGAGGAATTGGTCAGGATGAAATAATGGAAAGAGAAGAGATTGGAAGCTTGCAACACAGCACGGTGCTGGCTTTGATGATGGAGGGAGGGACCGTGAGCCAAGGAGAGGGGGAGGGAAACTGGAAAGGGTCCTCAGTGACCAGCCACAAGAAGACAGGTGCCTCAGTCCTATAACCACAAGAAACCAAGGCTGCGGGCAAGCAGGATGGGAGTTCCTCAAAAAGTTAAAAACAGAACTACCATCTGATCCAACAGGTCCACTTCTGGGCATTTATCTAAAGGAAATGAAAACAGGATCTCCAAGAGGTCTCCACACTCCCATGCTCATGGCAGCATCATTCACAATAGCCACGGTGTGGAAGCACCCTAAGGGTCTGTAGATGAATGGATAAAGAAGATATCACCCTATTACACACACACACACACACACACACACACACACACACACTCACACACACACACACACACACACTCACACACACACACACTCACACACACACACACTCACACACACACACACACACACACACACACACTCACACACACACACACACACTCACACACACACACACTCACACACACACACACACACTCACACACACACACACACACACACTCACACACACACACACGAATGTCATTCAGTCACTCGGAAGAAGGAATCCTGCCATTTGCTACCATAGGGAGGGGCCTTGAAGGCATCATGCTGAGATACGTTGGATAGAAAGATAAACGCTGCGAACTCTCACTTCCATGTGGAATCTAAAAAAGCCAAACTTAGAAACACAGTGAAGGAATGGTGGTGGCCAGAGGCTGGGGGCGGAGGAAACAGGGAGAGGCTAGTCCAGAGCCCAAACGTTCAGTTATAAGGTGGTAAGTTCTGGGCACCTGATGCACCCCCCGTGACTGTCGCTAACAGTGCTGTATTGTGTGAGTGAAAATTGCTAAGAGAGTAGCTTTCAAGCGTTCTCACCACAAAAAAAAAAAAGAAGTGGGAATTACATGATGTGATGGAGTGTTAGCAAACGCTATGGTGGTAATCATATTGCAATGGATAAGTACATCACATCAACATGTTGGACAGGTCACCCTTACCAAAGTTATATGTCAACTGTATCTCCATTTAGAAAAAGAAACTCAATTCTGCCAGCAATACACATGAGCGAGGACATGGACTCCCCCTCCCCCACCCCAGGAAGGAACAAAGCCTCGTTGGCACCTCAGTATGAGCCTGGCAGAGCCTGTTTGATCTCCAGATCAGTGACATAATAAATGTGCGTTATTTAGGTCAGTGGTAATTTATTATGGCAGCCATGGGAAGCTAAGACAGATAGAGAGCTCCTTGGAACAGGAGTCAATTCTTACTCATCTTCGCCCCCTCCCAGGGCTACGGTTAAGGTGATGGGCACAGAGAAGGTGGTAAATGGAAGGGTGTCATGGACCTCATCTGTTCTGGGCACTGATTTCTCCCATGGGCAAGGTGAACACAGACTGGCAATCCTGGGCAAGGGTGTCACTAAGCGTCCCCACCAGGCGAAGGGTCGTTCGTGGCCTCTTACCTATGCACTGTCCCGACGGGCGGTCCAGGTCAAAACCGTTCGTGCACTGTTGCTGTGGGGGGAGAGGAGGAGGCGAGGTCATTTCACTCACTCATTTTTGTCTAACTGTAAAAGCATTATAATGACATCACAGAAAGTTCAGGAAATACAGTCAAGGGGGGGAGGGGGAAAGCAGCCATAATACTAATACTTGTATTATAATGTCTATTTCCCCTTCTCCTCCTCTTCCTCCTTCTCCTCCTCCTTCTTTTTCTTCTTCTCTCTTCTTCCTCTCCTCCTCCTTCTTCTTTTTCTTTGCACTTTCATACAGATTTTTATACTCGGCATTACTTTTAAAGCTCCCTCACTGTTGCTCCAAAGCCTCTATTTTTTAGCAAATGATTCTTGGGACTTTGTCATGAAATGCAATAATAATCACATCTGATCTGCCTGATGAGGCATGTCCTGCATCCACTCCCTTCTGGGAATGGAGATGACTGCTTTTTAAGGGCAATCACTCTCTTGGGATGCTTTTAACCTCACCTTCTCAGCACCCCGTCCTTTGTACCCTGTAAACCCTCCACCAGACCCTGAGGTCTGTACGTAAAATAAAAGCTACACAGTGATGTGGCTAAGAAAAGCAGAATTGGGGAAACGCCTCCATTTCAACCTCAGAAGACAATCACACAGAGACACTTCCAGAAACAGATCTGCCACAGTCCCTGAGGGTTGTCGGCTTCACATGCCACGTGAGTTACAACTTTATGCATTTAGAAAAACATCGTGGCCTGGCCGGTGTGGCCCAGTGGTTGAGTGTCGACCCATGAACCTGGCAGTCATGATTCGATTCCCTGTCAGGGCACCTGCTCGGGTTCTGGGCTCCATCCGCAGTAGGGGGCAGGCAGGAAGCAGCCAGTCAATGATTCTCTCTCATCGTTGATGTTTCTCTCTCCCCCCCACCTCTCCCCTCTTCTCTCTGAAATCAATTTTTAAAAAGAGAAAGGAAAACGTCATTGGGGTGGACAGTCAGTGGCCCCTCTGGGCAGACCCCGGAGCCTGTGTGTTATGGGAACCAGGCGTCAGGTCAGGAGTGGGGCTTCCCTGAGCTGAGGGCTGGTGTGTGGCGAGGACGGATTAGCCTGCTTCCTGGGAGGAGGCTCAGCAGAGCAGCCGAGCCAGGAGGCTGCCCACGACCCTCAGGAGAGCTGGGTTCCTGGCTCACCGAGTGATGCCAAGGGCAGGCATGCAGGGGCACCGCTGCCCAAAACACCAGGGCACATCTCACTTAACATCTCAGAGAAGTCAGACACCCCCCCCGAGGGACAAGAGGAGGAAGGAGGATCCGATGATAAGAACCTTGGATCGGGCCCTGCCACGTGTGAACTGTATCACCCAGATCAGGTCTCCGCTTTCCTGAGCCCCAGCAAAGGGCTCTGTTTAGATAAACTATAAAGCTCCCTGCCCCCCCGCCCCCCAAAAAAATCCTAGGATGCTGACATGTGTGGCTGGACACCCTGATGTTTCTCACATGCTTCTAGATGATTCACAACATAAAAGCCTCACCTGTGCATTCCCAGGACGTGGAAGCCAGAAAGCCAGGATGGTGACAGTGAGAATCCTGCGAAAGGCAGAAAAGGCGGAATAAATGCCCAGGATCCTTCCAGGAGCCAGGTCTGCAGGCGTCCACGGACATCCCGCTGCTGGGCATTTACAACGGGGAGGTCACCTTGTGCTTATATGGGGGTCCCCAGGTACCCCAACACCCCATACAGACCCATTTATTCCCACTGTGTCATATGCTCAGAAAATGTGTCAGACGGCATTTTTTTTTTTTTAAATAAAAGGTTTTTGTTACTTCCAAGCACAAATCTAGCCCCCGCCGGCTGGGGTATTGACAACGTATTGGCCAACTGCTCTGACCTCACTCGTCACCCAGAGAGAGCAGCCTGAGTTCAAACATCTTTATTCTGAAACGGTAACGGGGGAAGGAGCCTCGCACCCTCAAACGGACGTGGAAGGAAAGTGCAAATGGGAGGCACAGGGGTCCCCCCGGGAGGACAGTGTCGCAGGGAAGTCACCCGATCCCGACCCTGATCCCGGAGTGTGGGAGTGTGCACCATACTGCCCCTGAGGGAGCAGAGGAGGGGGACCCGGGCAACAGGAGCAGCAGCACAGCAGGAAACTTAGGGGGAGTCAGGAAATAGAGGGATAGGGCAGCTCTGACATCCACAAACCACCAAACCTCTCTGAGCCAGAGGGTCCCACCTTTCAACAACACAAACTTCTTCCCAACACAATTATAGCTGCCAATGTGCTTTAAAACACAACATCGCACCCTGACCGGTGTGGCTCAGTGGAAAGAGCATTGGCCTGCAGACTGAAGGGTCCCAGATTCGATTCCGGTCAAGGGCATGTACCTTGGTTGCAGGCACATCCCCAGTGCGGGGTGTGCAGGAGGCAGCTGATGGATGTTTCTCTCTCATCCGTGTTTCTAACTCTCTATCCCTCTCCCTTCCTGAAAAAAAATCGATAATATGTGTGTGTGTGTGTGTATGTGTGTGTATATATATTATATATATATTTAAAAATACAGCATCACTACCACCTCCAGAACTCCTTTCATTCACTCTGCAAAACTGAACGTTTGAGCACCACGCCCGTCAGGAGAGCCAGAATCAGCAAAGCGGGGAAGGCGTGGTGAGGCTGGGGAAGCACTGGGACCCGTGAGCACCTCTGACGGGAATGTCCAATGGTGCAGCTGCGATGGCAGACAGGATAACCATTTCTTTAAAAATTAGAAATAGGATTACCCTAGGACCTAACACCCCCACTTCTGGGTATGCACCCCAAAGGGTGAAAAACAGGGTCTCCGAGAGACACCTGTGCACCCACGTTCCCAAGCAGCACTGTTCACAAGAGCCAGGAGATGGGGACAACCTTTCCTTCATGGATGGGCAGACGGACACACAACATGTGGCACCTACGTCCCACGACATACGACTCGGCCCTAAGAAGGAAGGACACGCTGACATCCTGGAGGAACGCTGAAGACATCCTGCTACGTGAAATAAGCCAGCCACAGAAAGATAAACACGGTATGATCCCACTTACAGGAGGTGCCTGTGGCAATCACAATCACAGAGACAGGACAGAATGGGTAACTGTTTAATGGGATAAAGGTCAGTTCTGCAAAGCGAATGAAAGGAATTCTGGAGGGTTGGCTGCACAACCACAGTGAGGATGTACTTAGCACCACCGAACCGAGTGCTTAAGCGTGACTATGGCGGTAAAAAACATACACAAAATCTACACACAGGGTCGAGTTTTATTTGGTGTTATGATTCAACAGGGTTTGTCTGAGTCACTACTCTTTGCAGGTATAAACCCTAGGCAAGTGGTCGGCAAACTCATCAGTCAACAGAGCCAAATATCAACAGTTATAACGATTGACATTTCTTTTGAGAGCCACATTTTTAAAACTTAAGCTATACAGGTAGGTACATTGTTATTTACTTAACTATGGTACTCCTCAGCTGGCCTTTGCTAAAAACTCAAGGGGCCAAAGAGCTGCACGTGGCTCTCGAGCTGCAGTTAGCCGACCACTGCCCTAGGCAGAAGAGCCACAAAACTAGGACCCAATCGCTGCACTAGAGAGCTGGTTGGGGAGCCACACGAATCAATAGCACGTTGGTTAGGACAATGACAGACATGCCCATTGAGTGCCTGGAGAGCCAGGCTGGGAGTTAGGGACAGGAAGGTCAGGGAAGGCTTCCTGGAGGAGGTGACCTTGATGGCTTCGTGGGTAGAGCAGTGGGACCTGGGACCTGGTTGGACTCAGTGGCCTGTTCCTGTCAAATGCACCTCCACTTTACAATCCCTCCCTTCATGGAAAGGGTGTTTGATAGATTACAAAGCTCACTCCATCTATAACACAAGGCTCATCAGAATCAATAGCTCTGGGTCCGTGGTGGGCCCTCGAATTAAGGAGACATCTGCAGGGAACGAAACCCTGGTGTGGCGCCAGAAGACGCAAGCCCAAGTCCTTCACCTCGTCTCCAGCCCAAAGAAAGGAGACCCTGAGCGTCCACCAGGTCTCACTGCCTCTCAGTGCCGCGCGAGCCAGGTCCTCGCGCGCTGGAGACAGCGCCGACCTTATAAAGCGCAGAGCCAAATCCCAGGGCTTTTTGATATTTGCGACAGCCAGATTTATATCTGGAAGGAATGAAAGAACAATAACAAATTTATTTTCCAGGCTGTATATTATGAATTTCAATGTTTTCCTGTTTCTTCGCATGAAGTTTCCTTTCGGTTGGTTATAAAACCCTGTCTCGTTTATGTTGGAGACAGAACAGGTTGCCTGAATGCAGTGGACTTCAAGAGCGAGTGGAAAAGGCATGCTAACCTCATTTCTCCCCCTACTCCCGGCTCCCCCGTGCTCTCTGGCTGAGAGTCCTCGGAGACAGGTCCCGTCTGAGAGGTCACCTCCAGGAAGAGCTGGGGCCTGGGGGCCAGGTAAGCTCCAGGCTGCCGGCCAGGCGAATGGAGAGGGTGTTTCAAAAAAATGAAATAGTACCCACACGTGCTGCTCTCACAGGTCACACACAGTGGCACCTTGTCACGGAAAACTCTAGAAAACTGCAAAAATTAACTAAAGGAAACCGGGGAACTCCCGATGCTCATCATTGGTCCCCGGGACTTTGGAAAACAGGGGGCCACCCACTTTGTGCACCATCCTGAGACCCAGGGGACCTAGGCTGTGTGTCTCCAGTTCAGGATGACATAAATACAGCTTACTTTTCAGCATATGCGCTCTCTCTCGCTCTCTCTCTCTCTCTCTCTCTCTCTCTCTCTTGCAACTACATCTTGCCCTAACCGATTTGGCTCAGTGGATTGAACATCGGCCTGCAGACTCAAGAGTCCCAGGTTCGATTCCAGTCAAGGGCATGTACCTGGGTTGCGGGCACATCCCCAGTGGGAGGTGTGCAGGAGGCAGCTGATCCATGTTTCTCTCTCATCGATGTTTCTAACTCTCTATCCCTCTCCCTTCCTCTCTGTAAAAAAATCAATAAATCATATTTTAAATAACAAATAAATAAAGCAGCTACACTGTTAAGAGTTTACGCAATAAAAGACCGTGCAGATAGAACCCAGATGAAAGCCCTTCCACGTTGAAGAATCCCTCCACGGAATGGCAGTTTTCCCAAAGAAAAAAAAACCGTTTGCTTACATGAAGCTCTGTCTGCCGTACCCACTGTTCATCGGCCTGAGGCTTCTGGGTGGCATGCCCCTGGCTCCCACACATGGGGCAGCGGTGGCCCGGGAGGTGCAGCTCACCAGCCGCCGATGCAGCCAACGAGCGGCTGGGGGACCAGTAATCGGTCTCCCGAATGCAAAAAAAAAGAAAGAAAAGTAGATTTTTGGGGAAACCGCACCCTCGATGTGCTGCCCTTTCGGACCAGAAAGAGGGACGGAGCTCTGTCCGCGGCGTGTGCAGCCCCTGCGGGATGCGGAGCCGGAGCCGGAGCCGAAAATGCCCACTCCCCAAAGAGGGCTCTGCAGAGGCGGCGCGCAGAGGCGCAGCTTTTTACAATTAGCGATGCTATTGCATCACCGCTAACGCCCTTTCCAGGATCCCGACGCCGCCGGGCCCCGCGCACAGCCGCTTCCCAGCCCTCGGGGTCCAGGAAGGCTTCCAGACCCGGGGGGAGGAAGGGGTCCGGGAGGGAGCACCCACCTCTGAAGTCCTGGCATGTCCAAGGTGCGGGCGCCGGGAGCGGAGGAGAAAGACGGCGCGGCGGCGGGACCCTCTGGCGGTGCTGAGCCTCGGCCTTTGGGCCGCGGGGCTCGCTGATGGTCCCTCCGGCGGACGGCGAGGCGCGGGGAGGACGAGGGCAGAGCCTGAGGGAAGAGCCTGGGTCCGCCGAGCGCTGGAGAGCCGACGGGGAGAACACCTGGTTCTGCTTAGCCCTCTTCAGTAATTCAGCATTAAGCCAATTGGAGGAGGAATGTTAAAAATGAACACTTCATTTTCTAAGTATGTTAAACAATGCAAATGGGGCCTCGGCCTGGACACAGCTGGTTCAGATTACAGCGCTCACAACAATCTCGGGGCGTCTGCCAGGACCAGGGCTCGGCGCTGGGAGGAGAGCCCGGTCCCGGGGAGCAGCCGCACTGGGGCTCCCAGCATCTCCGCCGGCGGCGAGGGCGGGGGCGGGGGCGGGGGCGGGGAGGCCTCCCGACCCTCCATCCCCCCCCCCCCCAGGGCATCCCCGGCCGGGCGGGGCGGGGAGAGGGAAGGGGCCCAGCGCCCCTGGCTTGGGGACACCCTGCAAAGTCAGCTGCCTCTCCAATCACTTGCGCTCAGACTTGAGTCTTGGGATTTATTGGGGAAGCAGAGCCAGTGGAGAGGAGGCTTGGGGATGGGGTTGGCGTCGGGAGCTCGGGTTTTCCAGGAGGGAGGAGGAGGACGGCCGGAGGCCGGCGCATCGGCTTGTGCAAAGCAAACCTTCCCGGGCGCGCACCCCGCCGGCACCGGGTGCTCCCGGGACGGTCTTGCTTGAATTAAAAAGTGTCCATGCAGCGGCCCATCGGCCGTTGGCCGGCTTCCACCTGCACAGAGTTACAGGTCCATGCTATCCCCATTCGGCTCCAGGGGGGGGGGGGGGGGAATGTGGTGTTGTTTTTCATTAAAAACGAAAAGCGTCCCCGGGTGATGTTAGCAGAAAAGGTGATGCGAGCAACTGAAAAGGTGATTTGAAAAGAGGGAAAGCACAGCCAGGGAAATCAGGACGATAGTGAGAACCTCAAAGTGCTATGCTGAGCCCTGTATATTCATTAGATGGCTGGCTTCAAAGGTTTTTTTTTTTTTTTTTTTTTTTTTTTTTTTTTTTTTTAATGTAAAGCTTTGAAACCCTTTTCTTCAAATTAAGTCTTCCCAGAGACTCTGTTCCTAAAGAGACCAAAGTGGACTGGCCGGCAGGGGTCCGAGCGCCTCCCTCCCCACCTGCACCTTCCCCGGGGCCCCTCCACAAAGCCCACCTGCTGTGCGGTCCTTCCTCCCCCCCCTCCCCCCCCGAAATATTACCCCCATCTAGAGAGGTGAGGACGCCCGGCCCCACAGCTGAGAGGCACAGGCTGCAGGTCTAGCCTTCTGAAAGGCCTGCTTGTGGCAAGTGAATGGAATCCTATGGACGCTGCCCTCTGGGAAATAATTATTTTTAAATGTTTTTATTGATTTCAGAGAGGAAGGGAGAGGGAACGAGAGAAACATCAATGATGAGAGAGTCATTCATCGGCTGCCTCCTGCACACCCCACACTGGGGTTCGGGCCACAATCCCAAGCATGTGCCTTGACCTGGAATTGAAACATGATCTCCTGGTTCATAGGTTGACACTCAACCACTGAGCCACATTGCCCGGGTGGTGTATTGATTCTAAAGCTGGTAATTAAGAAAGAACCTTTGACCCCGCCTCCTTCACTGCCTAGCAGATGCAGAGGGAGAGACCTACTCAGGGAAGGCAACCATAAGGGGTGGGACTTAGCAGCCTAGAGGAATTTCGTGTCTCACTATTGCTGGGTGGGCTAGAAAAAATTCACCAGCCACACGCCTCCTCGGCTCCTCGGCTACCTATAAATCTCCCCTTCTCACTGCTGACATCTCAGGCTCCGTTCCCCGTTTTCTACTTTGTCCAAAATGTCATATTTGCCCATGCTGTCTCACATGAAACAGTTGTTTCATGATTATGTGAATCCCCATGTGCGTGTATTAACATTTTCATTTCCTACTGTTAACCTGTCTCTGTGAATTTATTAGCCCAGCTAGAAGAACGCAGAAGGGGGGAGGGAAAGTGTTACCTTTTCTAGCCCCCACAGTACTCTCCAACATCTATCAGAATGTTGGTAGTTGTCTAAGTCGAGTGTCTGCTTATTCTGTTTACTTTGTATGTATTAGAACTTTCGCATCATAAAGTATTTTTTTAAACACATTTATTTATGAGGTTGTTCACTGCCCCCAAAGTTCGCACTAGCAAAAGGTTGTAAACAACCTCAAAGTCCATCATCAGTTGGGTACCAGCAGAGTTAAATGAAGTAAGAGCTTCCAAAAATGAAGTATTCTGCAACCAATAAAAAATGTTAGACACATAAAAGTACATATTGGATGACTCCACTTAAATAAAAATCAAAATAGGGTGGTGACTGGGAGGGGCCCAGGGCCCTTCTGGGAGCTGGGAATATGCTAATTCTGGATCTGGGTGCTGGTTCTACAGGGAAGTGAACCCTTAGGATTTGTGAATTCCTCTGTACATCACACTTCTCTCACTCAGCTTACATTTCCCCATCTTGTCCACAAAGCTTTGGTAGGAGATTTTATCAGATGTCCTGCTAACCTCAGAATGGACAGTATCATAGCATTTCCTGATCTAGCAATTCTATTTTTTAAAAGAAAATGAGGTGTGTAGAGCAGGAACTACTAAGTGACCCCTCTGGCTCCTAAATATCATCATTTCCTTTTCTAAGTGATTTGGTGTGTGTGCGTGTTTTGTTGTTGTTAACATCTACCTCACCTCCCATTGGAATCAAAATACAATCACAACTATAGAACAACTTCACAAAATGTAAAGGGCAACGTCAAGGTAAGAGGTTACCACCTGCTGAGTGGGGCCTTCCTGGCTCTAGTGAAACTCAACTTCCTCACTGTGCTGTGGACTGGAAAACAGACGGGCTATTTCTTTTTTAAGCTGATGCTTCAAATTGGGGGTAAATTTCACAAAATTAATAAAAGTAATGATATATTTTGACTACTAATATTAAATTATTTTTTTTTTTCACTGTTCAAAAGTAATTACATCACATTGCCTTTCTAGGAGAGAATGTAAAACAGGGAAAGTGACATGATTGACTGTTCATGATCATGCTGGACTCTACACACACCCTCTCCTCTGACAATCCCCCCCCCTCCAATTTGCACTTGAAAAAAAACAGACCCAGAGACACTATGGCCACACAGATAATAAACAATATGAACTCTAGCCTAAACCAAGCCCTTTTGATTCTAGAGTCCTCATTCTTCCAGTTTACCAAGCCTTGTTCCAACAAAAGTTCACTGCCACCAATCTAATACCACCAGAAATCCCTAATATGGGGTGTCCTAAAGGAGAACCTATCCAGATAATCAGTTTGCAAACCTGAGAGCCCCCCAAAAGTGGGCTCTGTCCAGACAACAAGGAGACTGCTTTTTATTAAGTCCTGCCTTTGCCTCTGATTGGTCCACTGTTATGCAAATTAGGAATCCAAATTCACACAGTCTGATTGGTCCAAATAGCACGGCCCTGATTGGTCCTTATGAAGCCACTCTGATTGGCCATGAAAGATGCAAATGAGGAAATAGAGGGACCTTTTCAATTGGACAAGACAGGCCTAAATCTGACAGTGGAAAGATGAGCTCAGGAGCTATTTATAAGGGTGGGCTCAGAGGGCAGGAGCAGAGTGCAAGAGACTGGCTGCTCCATCTGTGGCTTTTCACTGAAATGCAGAATGTGTGAGAGGCTCCTGCCAGCAATGGTTAATTGAGTCCAATTAACCCCTAGGAGTTCTTGGAAGATATATTCCTTCTCAGGGTTAACACTTGCTTTCTCTGACCTGCTTACACAGCTAGTGCCCATGACATGGGTTCATGTGTTGGTTACCTCACTGAATCCCACCGGAATTCTCTTAAATCTGGCCATGTTGCCACCATTCACCCCCAATGGTGCTTCCTAAGTTTTCTAGTGCTCTCCTGGCCAAATACCATGCCCTTCATTTTTAATTGTTCTTTTGTCTCTTTGAAGGATTTGTCCGTTGATAATCTATCTTGTCCTCTTATGTCCATGACTTTTAAGTTATCCTGGTTTCCTCACTCTGACTGCATTTTCTCCAGCCTCTTCTTTCTCCTCCTCCCTGGCCAAAAAGCCCCCTTAAGTTAAGTCCTGCCTCTCTACTCTCCTCATCACCTCTTCTGGAAGAGTCACTGGTCCTGCAACTGTTATGGGGCATTGGTATATACTGCCAGCATTTGCACGACTCTCAAATCCTTCTCACCAACCCTAACATGTCTCTTTCTCGACAGAGCCAAATGTTCAACTCCTTGTGAGATATTTCCCTAAATCCATTTCCTCTCCTCAGTCACCTAGTCAGGGTAGTTTCTTTACTCCCTGAGAACTAATATAAAAGTTAAAAGGTTTCCACCCTACCAGTGGTTTTGGTTTAGTGTTTTGGGTCGCGATGATGTGTGTTTTAATAGAAATAGCTCAACAGGTGTCACAAAATGACTCATGTTGTCAAATTCTGTAGGTTGGTGGTCCAGGGCTAGGATGGCAGCTCTGTTCCTTTAAGGTTCCGAGATTCAGGTTCCTTCTATCCTGTTGCTTAGCAACCTCTAAAGTGTTGATCTACATTGTCCAAAATGGTGCACTATCCCCACCACACCTACATTTCATCACACAGGATGGAAGTTGATAGCCACACCTAACTGCAAAGGCCAATGGGAGATGGAGTCTGTGTTCTGAGATCAGGAACCTACCTGTACTTAGCTAAAAATCTGTTTCTTATTGTGAAAGCAGAAAATGGTCATCCAGAGACAAGCTGCCAGCTCAGCCAGAAACCCTAAAGAACATCAGTTATCTTTACTTTGCCCAACTTTGTTTCTATAGTGAGATTTCTCCATGGTCATCTATATTGAAAATATTTTCCTTTTTTATTTTTAATTTTATCT